TAGAATAAACCTCCATTATTGAGTAACTGCAAAGTCTCTCTGCTCCATACAACTATAGAGCCTGTCTCCAGCATCTTCTGTCTGGAACGGAGCTCTGGAAGCCTGTCTGTTGCCCTACTTATCATCGAAAAAATGATCATGAGAAGAGGATAGTGAACATGTACAGAGCACGTCATTGGTTTTACCCATCGTTCTAAGCCCTTTCTGCAAAGTAAACTCAGGTTACTATCTGCTACAACCTTATGAGATAGGTAGCATTATTATCTCCATGTTACAGATGAGGCAAAGGAAGCACAGACAGGTTAAGTGACTTGCCCAAAGGCACACAGTGAGTGGTGGAACCTGGAGAGGAAACCAGGTGGTGTAAATCAAGGGCCTAACTCAGTCACTCTTCCTCTGATCACTTGACTCTACTGCCTGCAATCACTGAGCAACACTGCCTCTCAATTAAGCTGGTAAAGTAATCTCTTGGCACTAAACCTCATTCTCTTGTAATTGAGGGATATTCTTGCTTCACTGTCACTCTAAGGTTCTGCCCTGCAGAAGACAAAATATGAGGGCCAGGCGGGGTGGCTAACGCCTGTAATTCCAGCACTTTGGAAGGCCGAGGTGGGTGGATCACGAGGTCAGGAGTTCGAGACCAGCCTGGCCAACATGGTGAAAGCCCATCTCTACTGAAAATACCAAAAAAATTAGCTGGGCATGGTGGAGTGCACCTGTAGTCCCAGCTACTTGGAAGGCTGAGGCAGGAGAATCACTTGAACCCAGCAGGCGGAGGTTGCAGTGAGCCGAGATCGCACCACTGCACTCCAGCCTGGGCGAGAAATCAAGACTCTGTCTCAAAAAAAAAAAAAAAAAAAAAAAGACAATTTTGTCTAGGTTGGGGCTAAGAGCAGGGTTTTGGAGTTAGACAGGCCTGGGGTCAAATCTCAGTTCTGCCCCTCCCTGGCTGTGTGACCTCAGCAGTTGGCTTCCCCACTGAGCCTCTTGGAGCTGACGACTGCATAGGACAATGTATGGGAGTACGTGTGAAGAACAAGAGCTTCCTGGCACAGATGGTTATTATGGGTGTGAGGCTTTGGATAGAGTCACTTGGACATCAGTGACTGCCTGGGGCTGCCATGAATCTGGCAGTGCAGCTGAACCCCACCTCTGGAATCAACCCCACTCCAGACCCCGGGGCTGCATTTGGCCTGGGAGTGGGCATGGTGAGTGAGCTCACTGACTCACACTTGAGCCAGCCTCCCTGTAAGCCTTCCTGTTACCCAAGAGCCAGTCATGGGCCCTGTTGGTGTTAACTGAGATCAGGCATGGACAGCTTGTGGCCTGGTGCCTAGACTATAGTAGATGCTCAATAAACAAAGTCACCAGCAGTGGCATTAGGTCGGCTGACCACAGCATCAACAACTGATGAATACAGAGAAACAGGCTTTGGAGACGGACCTGAATGTGAGTCCTGGTCCCATCACTTAAGAGCTGTGGCACTTGGGGCAATTTGCTTCAGCTCTCTGGGCCTCAGTTTCTCTCGCTGCATATGAGGATCACTATTGCCTGTCTGTAGAGTCAAGATGAAACTCTAAAGCACTTAATAATGTGCTTGGAGTTTGGCCACAGCTCTATAGTGGCAGCTATTATTACCGTTGTTTCTGCTGTAACTGCTGATGTTATTTTCAACTCTATCTCCCTGGTAACTTCCTGTGCTTTATGGATACATCAGAGTGTATGGCACTCAGGGATGGATTTTCTGGGGTCAATACTCAGGATTCAGGTCTCAGTTCTACCACTTCTTATCTGTGTGGCTCTAGGAAGGTGATGTTGCCTTCCTGAGCCCATTTCTTCATCTGTGAAATAGAATTAATAACCACACCTCCCTCCCAATGACATTCTTAGGGTTTAATGAGATGATGTAAGCATTGATTTATAAAGCATGACAGGCTGGGTGCAGTGGCTCACGCCTGTAATCCCAGCACTTTGGGAGGCCGAGATGGGTGGATCATGAGGTCAGGAGTTGAGACCAGCCTGGCCAACACGGTGAAACTCCATCTCTACTAAAAATACAAAAATTAGCCTGGTGTGGTGGCACACACCTGTAATCCTAGTTACTCAGGAGACTGAGGCAGGAGAATCACTTTAACCTGGGAGGTAGAGGTTGCCATGAGCCGAGACAGAGCCATTGCACTCCAGCCTGGGTGACAGAGTGAGTCTCTGCTTTAAAAAAAAAAAAAAAAGCATAACAGACTGGATGGCACCTGGTTCATACCTGTAATCCCAACACTTTGGGAGGCTGAGGCAGGAAGAGTGCTTGAGGCCAAGAGTTTGAGACAAGCCTGGGCAATACAGCAAGACCCTCACCTCTACAAAAAAATAGATTTTAAAAATTAGCTGGGCATGGTGGTGTAAGGCCTGTAATCCCAGTGCTTTAGGAGGCTGAGGTAGGAGGATTGCTTGAGACCAGGAATTGGAGGCTGCAGTGAGCTATGATCACGCCCCTGCACTCCAGCCTGGGCAACAGAGCAAGACCCCATCTCAAAAGATAAAAAAAGAATAAAGAATGACAAGGCCTCTCCTTGAAAAAGGGAGGAAGGGGTGGGTCCAGAGGGGAGAAAGGGGTGGGCAATAGGGGTGCTGTATCTCCACAATGGGGATGCCAAGCCCCTGCCTTCCATCTGTCTCATTGCTGGGCACCCCTGCTCCATCTGATCCTGATGCCCAGCCCAGGTCTCCCATACACTCGGAAAACGCCAAGGTGATTTTTCACCTTGTTTGTAAAATATGCAGGTTAAAGTAATTGAAAATTACTCTATCCTTTTCGACGCCTTCCTGAGGCCCCCATAGGCCTCCCACACACCAGCTGCATCACCCACTGGGAGGCTGCAGGTGGCTGAGACAGGCTCCGGGCACAGCAGGGGAACAAAGTCAGGGAAATGATGCAGAGTTGGCTCGTGGAGGTTGGATGGGTGAGGGGTGGTCCTGGGGCCTGCCTGCAGGAAGTCTGCTGTCACCTGGCTATCAGACAGAAGGCCCCTCCTCTTCCTACCTGGGGCAGAAGAGACTCAATTATGGCCGAGCATGGTGGCTCACGCCTGTAATCCCAGCACTCTGGGGGGCCGAGGTGGGTGGGTCACCGGAGGTCAGGAGTTTGAGACCAACCTGATAAATACGGTGAAACCCCGTCTCTACTAAAAATACAAAAATTAGCCAGGCGTGGTGGTGTGCACCTGTAGTCCCAGCTACTTGGGACGCTGAGACAGGAGAATTGCTTGAGCCCAGGAGATGGAGGTTGCAGTAAGCTGAGACTGCGCCACTGCCTGGGTGACAGAGTGAGGCTCTGTCTCTAACTAAATAAATACATACATACATAATGACTTCATTTATGCCTGGCACTGCCCCAGTGTCTGTTCAGCTCTCCAGCAACTCCCACTGCCCAGATGAATCCACGGGGGCCCAGAGCAGTGGTCAGTGGGGGAAGGTGGGATGGGCACTCAGTACCCCAGGCAAGGCTGCAGGAGGCCTCTGGGCAAGGGGACAGAGATACTGAGGCATGAGAGAGAGAGGCTCAGGTGGACCACACCAGCACAGCTCACCGGGCTCTCCGCAGTAGCCTCCCAACCAGTCTCTCTGCATCCCTCCTTGGCCACTAAGTGTATTGTTTGCACCCTAGCCAGAGTGATCCTATTAAATCCCAATGCAGACCATGGCTCACTTTGCTCCAATGCTCCGTGGCTCCCACCTCCCTCAGAGAACAAGCAAAGTCCACTATGGTCTGCAAAGCCCTAAATGACCTAATCCTGTTCTCGCTCACCCCTACCCCCAGTCTTTTACTCCATTCCAGACCTGCTGTTTCCTGTTAGGCCAGCACACTCCTGCCTAGGGCCTTTGCACCTGTTATTTCCCTGCCTGGAATGTTCTGGTGGTTCACTGAGGTCTCGGTTCCTCTGCACAGAGTTCTCTGGCCATCACCCCCATCATTTCCACATTTTTATCCAACTTTATTGTTCTTGGTATTTACCACCTCCCAACATTATAGCCCTAATCGACCTGTTTATTTACTTTCTGTCTCTCCCATAGAAGGTGAAAACCTGGAGGGTAGGACATTGTGCTGTGTCCTTAGGCCTTGAACAGGGCATGGCATTTGCTGAATACACTGAACAGGGCATGGCATTTGCTGAATACATTAGTGACAACAGAAACTGACCCACAGAGAGGTGGAAGGGGAAATAATGGATAGATGAATGGAAGGAAGGAGAGAAGGAAGGAAGGAGGGAAGGAAGGAAGGAAGGAGAGAGGGAGGGAGGGAGGGAGGGAAGGGGAGGGAAGGGAAGGGAAGGAGGGAGGAAGGAGGGAGGGAGGAAGGAAGGAGGATCAGATGGACAGATTGATGGACAAGTAGATTGAAAGAAAAGTTGATGGATATGTGAATAAAAGGATAGAAAGATGGGTGAGTGGAAGGAAAAATGGATGAATTAATGGAAAGAATAAATATAGGAAGATGGAAGGAAGAATGAATGGATGGATGGATGGGTAAGTGGGTGGATGGATGGATGGATGGATGCATGGATGGATGAATGGGTGGTAGGTGGATGGATGGATGAATGAATGGGTAGGTGAGTGGGTGGATGGATAGGCCAGTGGGTGGGTGGGTAGATGGATGGATGGATGGATAGGCGAGTGGGTGGGTGGGTGGATGGATGGATGGGTGAGTAGATGAATGGATGGGCACACGGGTGGGTGGGTGGATGGGTGGATGGATGGATGGATGGATGAGTGGGTGGGTAGACTGACAGACATTCAGGTGGAAACACGCACCAGCAGATAAACACAAGATCAGGGCAGTAGGGGCACATGGTTCTGCCTGAAAGGATTAGAGCCTAGGATATGGGCAAAGTTCACAGCCCCTTCCTGGGAGTCTCAGAACTCTCAAGCCCCAGCCTCCTTCAGCAGGCCTCTCCCACAGGTCCTGCCCCAGGCCTGGCTCCCTCAGGAAGTGATGCCGAGGAACATGGCAGGCGGGGGACCAACCCCAGGCTTTATTGAGGAGATTCCAGGGAAGGGTGGACAGGTCGGCCCTCGCCCCAGCCCTGGAGCCTCCTCTTCTTGCCCTTGCAGCCCCCGCAGCGTGGGTCTGGGTCTTTGAGGTCTGGGTGCCTTTCAGCTGCTGAGGAAGCAGCCCCGCTTGTGCCACTTCTGGTCGCGGATGCGGCGCACAGACTGCAGCTGCGGCTGGCTGGCGTTCCACTCATTCCAGTGGCGGTACTCGCCCCGCTCAAACACGTACTGGCGCCCACGGTAGCCGGGAAACTCATAGCCAACCCACCTGCCGGGAGACCAAGGTTGAGATGTGGACGGTCTGCTTCCAGTCACCCTGCCTCCAGCCAGCATCTGACCGTGCACTGCCTGCCTACATTCCCCCTAAGCTCCCCAGAGCCCTTGGGACGAATCCAAACTCCTTACCCTGCTCACAGGACCCTTCCCAAAGCATCTCGAGTCTTAGCTCTCAACATCCCATTCACCACTCGACACGGCAGCCTCTCTTATTTTACTTTCCCAGAACCTGCTGTGTGTGTGTGTGTGGGGGCTTTGTATGCATGATTCCTTCTGCCTGGAACGTTCTTCCTCACCTCATCCTTCTCCTTCCCCCTTTTTTCCACTTGTATCCCTTACAGCTCAATTTAGACGTCTCCAGACTCCTGCAGGCTGAATCGAGTACCTCACTGGGACTCCCAGAGCCCCTTGTGCATCCCAATCACAATCCTGATCACAATACGTTGCGAATACCTGTTACTTTGTCTCTCTATCAGACTATGTAATCTTTTTTTTTTTTTTTTAGCTGGAGTTTCGCTCTTGTTGCCCAGGCTGGAGTACAGTGGCGTGATCTCAGCTCACCACAACCTCCACCTCCCGGGTTCAAGCGATGCTCCTGCCTCAGCCTCTCGAGTAGCTGGGATTACAGGCATGTACCACCATGCCCAGCTAATTTTGTATTTTTAGTAGAGACAGGGTTTCTCCATGTTGGTCAGGCTGCTCATGAACTCCCGACCTGAGGTGATCCTGGCCCCAGACTATGTAATTTTCTTGAGGGCAGAGGATATGTGTCATTCTTGCTGTTCTCTGTATCTGCATACCAGCATATAGTACATGTTCAGTAAAAATTATTGAATAAATTATTATCAGGGATGGGTGGTGTCCCTCAAGGTCCAACCCCAGATTCCAAGCCCACAAGTGAGATGTAACCACCTACAAAAAGCAGGTGATCCTAAGACTGCATTAACGGTGATATTAAGCCTAGAAAGAGGGAGGTGACAAGCCTGCTCTCCTCTGTACAACTTGTGTCACACCTCAATAGCTGCACACATCCTGGGCCCCTTGGTAAGAAGAACAAGAGTTATGAGGGGGAAGAATATTTCAAGAATCAGTTCAAGGGCATGGGAATGTTTAGAAAAGGAGGAAGGGGCCAGACACAGTGGCTCACGCCTGTAATCCCAGCACTTTGGGAGGCTGAGGCGGGCGGATCACGAGGTCAGGAGATCGAGACCATCCTGGCTAACACGGTGAAACCCTGTCTCTACTAAAACTACAAAAAATTAGCCAGGCTTGGTGGCGGGCGCCTGTAATCCCAGCTACTGGGGAGGCTGAGGCAGGAGAATGGCGTGAACCCGTGAGGCGGAGCTTGCAGTGAGCTGAGATCGCGCCACTGCACTCCAGCCTGGGCGACAGTGAGAATCCATTTAAAAAAAAAAAAAAAAGGAGGACTCAGATGGGAACAGGTGGAGAGAACAGATTTCACTTGATTTAAGTCAAGGCTGCCTAGAAATCTCAATGGGTCAGGAGTGCAGGGAACATCAATCATGCAAGAAAGTATGGGCACTGATTCTGTTTGGAGCCAGAGGCGTGGCTGACCAGAAGATGGGGCAAGGGTGAGGGTTGGGTCCCTTACGTCCCATTGATGGCGCAGACACTCGCCACACGGTCCTGGAAGCCATGAGCCCAAAGGCTGGGCACGTCATCATCCACTATCTCCATCTTGCGGCCACTGAAAGCTGGGTTCTCAAACAGATGAAGCTTGTGATCTGGGCTATCCTGAGGGCAATATCGTGGGGTGAGCGGCTGCTCCCGTATCCAGAACAGAGGTCAAGGAGGCTCCAGATGCCGGAAAAAATCATCAAGTCACCACAAAATAACACCCACCCCCAAACCCGCTGCAGGAGGGAAGGGACTCAGGAGATGCCTCCACCCCCAAATTCACTGTAGGAGGGACGGGGAGATTCCTCCAAAGCTGGTCGATTTAGGAATCTAGAGCCATAGATTATAAAACTGAAAAGGAATTTTCAGATCTTGTTCAATCCCATCATTCAAATGATAGAGAAACTGAGGCCTAGAGAGGGTGGACGGAGATCAAAAGTATCAACATATGAGCTTTCTCTCTTTCCTAACCAGATGCCAGTTTCATCTTCCCGGTTTCCCCTCTTCCATTGCCCTCTAAGGAGGACTCAGTTATGTGACAAAGAGAAAGGGTTGGCGCAGCTACTGGATGTGAGTGAAGCAGGGGAGGAGGAAGGGCGGTGTTTAAAGTGTCACTGTGGGCCAGGCATGGTGGCTCATGCCTGTAATCCCAGTACCTTGGGAGGCCAAGGCAGGCAGATTACTTGAGGCCAGGAGTTCAAGACCAGCTTGGCCAACATGGCGAAACGCCATCTCTACTAAAAATGCAAAAATCAGCCCAGCATGGTGGCAGGAGCCTTCAGTCCCAGCTACTCAGGAGGCTGAGGCAGGAAAATCACTTGAACTCAGGAGGCAGAGGTTGCAGTGAGCAGAGATCATGCCACTGCACTCCAGCCTGGGTGACAGAGCAAGACTGCAACTCAAAATGAAATAAAAATACATAAATAAAAAATGTTTAGAGAGAGAGAGAGAGAGACTGCACTCCAGCCTGGACGACAGAGCAGGAGTCTGTCTCAATAAATAAATAAATAAATAAATAAATAAATAAATAAATAGTGTCACTGTGACTGTGTCCCTTTCAGGTGCTAGAGAAACACAAGTAGAGAACTTAAAGTATTTGGAAGCTACTTTCTGAAGTTATTTCCTGGACTGCATTTCTTTGATAACAATACTGATTTGCGACTGGACCACGTGGCTCATCGTTTTAATAGGGTTACAAAGAAAAGTCCCAGTGCTATGCTGGTTTCATTCAAGATGTGAGTCCTGGTGTCTCAACTCCCAACCCAATGTCCATTCAATATCCCACTTCTTGTCCCACACAATTGTTCAGATCAGAAATATGAGGGCCCTTCCCAGGCCAGGTCCATCTGGGCCAAGCCCTCAGCCCAGCTCGTGCAATGAGCTTGCCTGAAAAGCTCTCGGTGCACCCTGCTTCCAGGAACGCCCAGAAGTGGGCAGGAACCATACTCACAATGTTCAGAGGCCGGAGGGACAGGAGGCTGTCACTATTACGGCTGTTGGACCAGGCATCCCAGCGAGGATAATCCCCCTTCTCCAGAACAAACTGCTCCCCGCGGAAGGCCCTAGACTCAAATCCCAGCCACCTGAGGGAGGAAGAGGCCTGCCTGGGTCACCTTTGCTGCAGCTGAGGAAGCATTCAAGCTTAGCGAGAGAAGGATCCAAGAGCTGCTGACCTTGAACCTTGCACCCTCCCTCCAACCCTACTGCTACTTCCTGGATCTGTAATTAAAGGAGCTGCTAGGACATACCAGGAACTGTCTGAGACTCTGGGCAAGAAAACCATCTTAGCGAGTGTTACTGAGAATCTAGCCTCTGTGCAAGGTACTCAGAAAAGTCTTTAGCACAATGCCTGGCACACAATAAGTACCCATAGGTGACAGTGACTTCTTCCTCTTCCTTTTCTTCTTCTTTGTATTATATTGTTTTTAATATGTATTTATTTGCATCATTCCATTCATTTTCGTAAAAACTCTCTCTGAGGTATGTACCATTGTTATCCCCATTCCACAGATGAGCAAACGGAGGCCTGGTGTGTGAAGCAACTTGCCGAAGATCACCCAGGTGGTTAGTGCCAGAGCCTGGACTTGCAATCCAAAGGCGGGAATTCAGGGCCCAGGTGGGATACCTGCCTGCCTTGTGGACATGGATGGGACACTTACCCACTTTGGCCTCAATTTCCCCATCTATAAAGTAGGAATAAGAATGACACCTCTCTCACAGGGTCATGAGGATTCAATGACATAATGCATGTTAAATTTTAGGTGTTACAATGATTATTAAAATGATAAATATTAAATCCCGTGTTCCAGTCACGGAGCTAGGTGCTAGGTTGTCCTTGCTGTTTTTCTTCCAACCTCAGGTATCCTGGGATTTGCTGCAGATATCTAGGATTCTACAGAATTCTTCAACTCTCATTTTACAGATGGGGAAAATGAGGCCAGAGAAGGCAGGGGAGTTGTCAAAAGCCCCACAACAGATCTAGAGCTCAGACTGGGGCCTCCACACTCCCAGAAGGCTCAGGGTTGTGGCGAGGGACTAGGGGTCTAGGTACTCACGGCCCGGACTCCACTTGGATGGAGCCCACCTTCTCCAGCAGGCTGTCGGTCAGGCTGGGGCACTCAGCCGAAAGCTCGCAGCGTTTGCCTTGGAAGTTCTCTAGTTCGTACACGATCACCTAGAAGAGCAGCGTCCTAAGCATCCCACCTCTGCTGGGCTCCCGGCTCCAGCCTCTGCCCCTCCTTGGGGCATTAGAGGGAGGTACCATCTGCTTTATCCTCTCTGCATCTCTCCAGCCTGGAGCCAGCACCGAAGCGGGCCTGCACTGCCCTCTAATGGCCATGGAGGGAAACGCGTTCAGGAACTTCAGTGAGATCAATTAAACTAGGGATTGTAACTCTAACGTCCGGCAGGAGCCAGGTAGGGAGCCCAGCGGACTGAAACAACCCGAGAGGTTGGTGGGGAAATGAAGCTGCTTCTGGTAATGAGGGAATGAGGTCCCAGTTCCAATTTTTTCAAGAGAAAAATTCAGAAATCTGTATTTTCCTTAACGTGAAATTTCCCCCTTTACAAAATGAAACACCTGTTTGCAATCTCTGGGAAGACCTCTGCCCGCCCCAAGCCTAGGCGGAGAGGGGCTGCAAAGGCAGACCAAGGTTTTGCCTCTCTCACCCGCCTGGAAACACAAGCTGACTTTGTAGAAGATCCCCAGGGAACATCTGTTCCAGTCATTTTACAGAAGGGATCAAAGAAGCTCAGAAAGGGTAAGATACTTGCCTCGGGCTGCACAGCAAGTTAAGAGGAGGCACTGGGATTCGAGCCATCCTTAGACTCTGTCTGGAATAGTTTCCCCAAAAGCCCCCGGAGATGGTTTGGAAAGGGCAGAGCCAGCACATTCAAACCTTCTCTCAGATTTCTAGGGCGCCTCCCTCTGCTAGCTGGCTTCACTCATTTCTTTTAGCCTTTACACCAACTCTGGGCACGATGTCTGGGCACCATCCACATTTCAAAGATGGGGCTGTTGAGGTCCAGAGAACCTCCAAAACCTGTGCCCTTTTCCCCAGAGAGGGCAAGACACCAGGCTGAGGTCACACAGGCGAGTCAGAGCTCAGAGCCGTGTTTCCAGAAACTCCCGAGCCTCTCTGATCCATTGACACAGGCAGGATGTGGGTGACCATTTCCGTTTTGCAGACGAGGGGGGATGCGGCAAAGTCATGAAGCAAGTTTCTAACAGGAGGGTGGCAGTCAGAGGACCCACCCGGAGCGTTTTGTCTTGGCCTGGGTGGTTGGAAGGATGGCTCTTCCTTTCTACAGAGGTGCTGGTTGGCTGGGAAGATGACCCTGAGGCCCAGGAGCAGCCCTCTCACCCCCTCCCTGCCCAGTACCTTGTAGCTGCCCCCAAGGCCTCCATGGCTCTTGCCAGCTGCAGCCTGCTCAGGTGCTCCATGCTGTTCCGCCATCTCCCCAGGAATACCTCTGGCTTCAAATCAAAGGAAAATGGGTCATTGGATCCACCTGGGAGAAGCCAGGTGTTGCTGTGACTGGAGTCCAGGATGAGCTACAGAGCCTTGCTGCCCACAAGGCATGGCCATAACTTATGATCGACGTTCGGTCATTCAGTCATTCAGCAAACGTCCATTGAGCAGCTACCATGGGCCACGTGGACTGAGACAGTGGGATCAGGAGCCCCATTGGACAGAGGGGAACTCTGAGGCTCAGCAGAGCGAGGCGACTTCCTCAAGCACACAGAGGAAGTGGCCTGGGTCGGGCCTGGCTCCAAAGCCCGTGCCATTTTCCCCCGATCCAGATGCTCCCCGAAACCCAGGTTTCCCAGAGCTCTCTGCAGATGTCCCATCCCCAGACCCTGGCTGAAGGGTGGGCTTCAGGGGGTTTCCTCTACAGGGGTCTCTCCCACCTCCAAACTCTAGGAACTCTTTTGTTCACTGGTTACTTTGTTCACCAAAGATTCCATGAGCACCTACACAGTGCCAGGCTCTAGGCTGGGTGACCAGGAGGCACAGGAGACCCCAAATGTCGGGAGATGGACAGACAGACCTCTAGAGAAAGCGCTTGTAAGACCAGCTCCTTGGATACTTGATCTGGGTCAGTCTCCCTGCGTTCGGTTACTCATTCCTTAAGCATTTATGGCCGGGCGCGGTGGCTCAAGCCTGTAATCCCAGCACTTTGGGAGGCCGAGGCGGGCGGATCACGAGGTCAGGAGATCGAGACCATCCTGGCTAACACGGTGAAACCCCGTCTCTACTAAAAAATACAAAAAAACTAGCCAGGCGAGGTGGCGGGCGCCTGTAATCCCAGCTACTCGGGAGGCTGAGGCAGGAGAATGGCGTAAACCCGGGAGGCGGAGCTTGCAGTGAGCTGAGATCCGGCCACTGCACTCCAGCCTGGGCGACAGAGCGAGACTTCGTCTCAAAAAAAAAAAAAAAAAAAGAAAAAAAGCATTTATTGAATACGACTGTGTACCAGCCACTTCAAGACCCAGACACCGACAGTTCTCCTTCATTGCTACAGGGACAGTGACACGCAATACAGGCCCCTGCTGCAGTCACATGGAAGCATGCTTATCATTGTCGCACCCATGGACACACACAGGACTGTTCTGTTTGTCAGCACACACACATACACGCACACACTCACAAAAGTTTCTATGGTCACTATCAGTTGTATTTCACCCGTGGGCTCACAGGACAGTTTCAATCTCTCTCTCTCTCTCTCTCAGGACAGTTTCTCTCTCTCTCTCTCTCTCTCACACACACACACACACACACCCCTGCCCATTTCAGACATCCACAGTGGTACACAAGGCACCTACATCTACACCCCATATCCAACTGTTACCCACCCACGGCCACCCCAGCACGGCCACCCCAGCATGCTCAGCTGCACAGCCCACATACTCTGGACACGGGCCTAACCACGCACAGCCTGCGGGCTGTCCGTTCTGTCTGTCCCAGCCTCAGCAGGAAACGGGGCTTGGTCCAGCTCACAGGGGACTCTCGGGGGACTTGGCAGGTACCACGTGTGCCCACTCCCCTCCCTCGGAGGGGCTGTTTTGGAAGGTCCCCTGCCCTAAGCACATGTCCAGGGGCTTGGACCCTGGCCACTGCAGACAAGTGTCCCCTGTTCCACCCCCAGCTGGGCTGTCAGGGTCCTCTCACTGGGACCTGACCCTTAAGGGAGACCCTGTTTTTTTTTACAGGCGGTCAGCCATGCATGTCCCACAGACACCACCAAAGGTCCGGGCCTGCCAGGGTGGCTTTTCTCTCCCCACCCCCAGCCCATCCCAGAATGAACCTGTTGCTGTAGCCTCGGGAAGAACAGAGGATCCACGGCCGTCTGCAGACTCGCCTGCTTTCGCAAGGGGCATGCTATTTATGAGCACTTTCTGACAGCCCAGCACATCCCAGCCTGCTGAGGCAGCACCCTGTCCACCCAATTTCATCCAGGCCATTTCACTCCAATAGCGGGTCCACGGAGGCCCCCAGTGCCTGTCTCCTCAGCCACAGCCTCTGATGACTTCCTGGGGGCAGACGGACCTCACTGGCTTTGTGGGAAGCCCAGCAGCACTGGGCGAGGGGCAGGGTGTGCAGCTCTCCGGTGTCTCCCCACAACCACCAGTTCCCTTTCTTTGGTTTCTTGGGGTCACCATTTCCTATTGGGGTACATGAAACCTTTGGAAAGATTCTAGTTGTCAAAGTGAGGGACCCGAGACACTCTCCATTTTCCATGTGCCATGTGGCCTAAATTTTAAGTCAGATCACCCTAAACATACTCTCCAACTTGGGCACAGATCCACCCACCCGTTTCCACAGGATACTGTCACAGAACTGACAGACTGACTTTCTTCCTGCAGAAGACATTCACGAGTAATAGCTACCATTTACTGAACACCTACTACATGCAAGGCATTGTGTCAGCTTCATAAGCAATGTGTGGAAATCTCGCCCAGCCAACTTTAGGGGAGGAATTGTGATTCCATTTTATCCATGGAAAAAGGTTCAGAGAGGTGAACTCATTTACTCAGAATCACACAGCAGAGAGAAGGGGCTGGCCTGCTCCATGGCCTGGGCGCTCAGCCTCAATAGAAATAAAAGTGACCATCACACTCAACTTATTTATGACCAAAGAAAAGGTAGATCCAGGCATTTTAAATTTTTTTTAAAGAGATAGGATCTTGCTATATTGCCCAGGCTGGACTCAAACTCCTGGGCTCAAGCAATCCTTTCTCCTCAGTGTCCCGAGTAACTGGAACTATAGGCCCACGTTACCACGCCCAGCTTACTTAATTTTTTTTAAAGAGATAGGATCTTGCTATATTGCCCAGGCTGGACTCAAACTCCTGGGCTCAAGCAATCCTTTCTCCTCAGTGTCCCGAGTAACTGGAACTATAGGCGCTCGCCACTACGCCCGGCTAATTTTTTGTATTTTTTAGTAGAGACGGGGTTTCACCGTATTAGCCAGGATGGTCTCGATCTCCTGACCTTGTGATCCACCCACCTCAGCCTCCCAAAGTGCTGGGATTACAGGCATGAGCCACCATGCCCAGCTGCTTCCAGGAATTTTTTAAGTGTCTAACAAAGTATAATTTTGCCTGTAATCAATATCTAATAAGTGATTATTTTATGAATAAAATTATACTGGAGCAAAGGAGTTAACAAGGTTTTCTTTTGTTGTTGTTGGTATTTGTTTTTGGCTAAAATCCTCAAGTCAGCATAAAACCCAGTTATAGGCCGGGCGCGGTGGCTCACACCAGTAATCCCAGAACTTTGGGAGGCCAAGGCAGGCGGATCGCGAAGTCAGGAGATCGAGACCATCCTGGCTAACACAGTGAAACCCCGTCCTACCAAAAATACAAAAAATTAGTCGGGCGTGGTGGGGGGGGCGCCTGTAGTCCCAGCTATATGGGAGGCTGAGGCAGGAGAATGGCGTGAATTCGGGAGGCGGAGCTTGCAGTGAGCTGAGATCGCGCCACTGCACTCCAGCCTGGGTGACAGAGAAAGACTGCATCTCAAAAACAAAAACAAAAACAAAACAAAACAAACAAACCCAGTTACCCTGTACCCCCTAGAGGGAGATGGTGGTGAGATGCTGTGGATGACAGCCGGACTCTGAGTCACACAGATCCGTGTGACCTTGAACGAGTTCCTGAAGGTCTCAGAGCTACTGTCTCCTCACCCATAAATGGAGAACCTTCTCTCTACTTGGGCCATTTTGGGAGGTCATATAAGCAAAGCACTGTGCACAGTATCTGTTATTTTTGACTTTTATTCCCAGCATCCTGCCTACTCTGGACAGTCCAAGCCAAGGGGCTACTTCCTGCTGAAGGTGACAGAAAGCAGTTGGTTTGGACCCCGAGTTGGGATGTAGTTGCCACCAGCTGGGATAGAAGGAGGAAGGCAGAGGTGGGGATGGCGTGGCTCCCCCTCCCATCACATCTTTCAGGATCTTGCGGACCTACTGCGTGCTCATCACTTTGATGTACCACATCTCCCCAATCCAGACTTTTCAACCTTGACACTACTGCCATTTGGGGTCGGGTCATTCTTTGTGGTGGGGTCGGGGTGGGAGCTGTCCTGTGCATTGTAGGTTGCTGAGCAGCATCCCTGGCCTCTACTCACTTCCTGGAGCATCTTCTCTCCTCCTCGTGATAACCAATAATGCCTCCTGTCATTGCCAGACGTGCTCTGGAGGGCACAACCCACCCAGTTGAGAACCACCGCCTTAAACTCTTACCTGCAAATGTCCCAATCACCACTCCCATTGTATAGCTAAGGAGAACCAATGCTTAAAAGCAAATCCCACAGCCAGGAGGTGGCAGAAGGAGGACTCAATCCCTGTCAGTCTGAATGGAAATTTTGCCTTGTTTCCATGGCCTCCAATTCTGCATGGACACCCTCTCCCAGGACCCCAGCTCTGTCCTCTTGCTGGCCGGCCCACAGCTCAGCACAGGACAGACTGACTCAGCCAGCCCCAGTCAGGGCCTGCATGCATGGGAGACTCTATTCATTCACACATGGACACACCGACTTCTCCAATGCAGCTTGCACCAAAGCTTTATTTGCTATTTTCATAGTCTGAATGCAACATCTTTGTACATGCAAAGGTCATCTTGTTTTATTGCAGTTGACCAGATTTCCAACTGCTCTTCTGTGCATATGAAACCTCTTTACAGTTACAAAATATAAAAGCACTTGTAGACATCCAATACTCTGTGAGGTCTGGTAAGCCCCATTTTTTTTTTTTTACATTAAAAATATAAGGTTTTCTAGATGAATTCTCAGTCCCATGGGTAGAGATTCTTTCTGGGATTGGATAAAGTGCCTCTTGTCTGCCTTCCGTTCAGAACTCCTAGAGCTTGTGAATTCGTAAGGCAATTGCAAGAACACCGCAGGCGGGAAGCTTAACTTTCCTACACAAAGAACTCAAGTTCCCTTTCTATCGCGACTCAAAGATCTGAGGAAGGACCCAGAAGAAAGGTTAGGAAAATATATACTATACTTATGTGTGTGTGTGTCTGTGTGTATATATATGTATTTCCACGCCCTACCCCATCTTACAAAGCGTTCTGAGGATCACGATCATCTGGGAAGTGCATGACTTTAGGATATTGTTGTGATTTAGGAAACAGCACAGTACAAAATTATCTTCCATAACACAATATATTACTTTTGTGACCCCCCTATTTACAGGATCTATAAGGCTATGTGGAATGAGATTATTAAAAATCTCAAATTCAGCTGGGCATGGTGGCTCATGCCTGTAATCCCAGGACTTTGGGAGGCTGAGGTGGGAGGATCGCTTGAGACCAAGTTAGAGACCAGCTTGGGCAATATAGCAAGATCCTGTTTCTACAAAAAGAAGATTTAAAAAATCAGCTGGGCGTGGTGGTGTGCGCCTGTCATCTGGGCTACTCTGGAGGCAGAGGTGGGAGGATTGCTTGAGCCCAGGAGTTGGAGGCTGCAGTGAGCTATGATTGTGCCACTGTATTCCAGCCTGGCCAACAGAGCAAGACCCTGTCTCAAGAAAAGAAGAAAAAAAGTTCAAATTCTTTAGAAAATAGCATAATTTGTAGCCGGTGTGATGCCAACAGGGATTGTCAAGGAAGTGCCAGTCCAAGTCATGGAAGTTGATGTTATGGCACAGGTGGGAGAGCAACCACTGAAGGAGATTCTGGGAAGGCCAAAGGGGAGGGCGGGCTGAGAGGTGTCGATTTTAAGGGTTAACTTGCCAGAAACCTCAGGCCGACTTCCCAGAGCAGAGGGCCTAGCTTTCTGCCCTTCCCCCTGCGGGAGCCAATTTAGTCAAAAGAAAGAAAACTCTGGATTGGGGGGTGCAAAAGGAGACACAGGCTGGCAAATACCTGGCACATTCATGCCTACCAGCTTTTTACGTGGCTCTAGACTTCTTGAGCCTGCCCAGAATTCCAACTGGGTGAGTCCTAGCAGCCTCTCAGCACACAGCAAGGGTCCCCTACTCGCTAAGGGGACCGAGCCCAAACAGATCCCCTTCTAGATGTGGAGGGGGTCCTACCCTCCAGCCCCATGGAATCATGATGCCATGGAACTTCGGCTTTTGTGTTTTAACACATGGTGAGGGGGAAGGCACATTCAGAGACCACAGAATGTCTCCCCATCACTTACTCTGGTTTAAATGTCTACACTGGGGAGGGGGGATTTTTATAGTTTGTAATTATGACTAGTTCCAGGAGCCATCTGGGGACATATTATAAAGAAAAATATTAAAGCATAGATCGACAAAGCAGCTATCAGCACCAGGTCGGAGCAGCTGAGGTCTCTTTTAGGAAAATCACGCTAAGGGTCTTTCTAAATCCCTTGCCCAGCCTGTAAAGTTGACAACCACAGGCTCATGCCTATTTCAATTCTGGCTTCTTGGCGATACCCTTAAGTTGGCCTCCCTTCCAGGGAGGCACAAAGGAAAACACAAGTGTCTGAAACCACGTGATTTGGCTCGTCCCCCTGGAAAACACCACCATCCGATTGTCCTTTCCCTGAATCCTGAGGCTACCACTCAAAATCCCAACATCCTAAAGACCACGAGGTTTCTCTTTCACCAGAGTGTCTCTGGTGGCATGGAGTAATCCTCCACAATACTGATTTCTGAGGCCTCGTCATGGATTTTCAAAGGCCAAAGGCCTCTGTTTCATTAGGCAAAAGACCATGAAGAAGGGTATCTACTGAAGAGGAAAAAGACACGGGCTTCTCAAAAGACCAGCTGTCAAAATGCTGATGTGCAAAGCGGTGGTGGAGGTGAGGAGGAAGAGAAATGAGGAGGGGTGAGAGATTGTACACATGGAGGATTTTCCATTCTGCATGAGACTCTCATTGAGGACAGCCGAAGTCCCCGGGGAGGAGGGTTGGATGAGGAGTGGATGACTCCATTGCACACGGATTATTAAGGCATGTTAAGTGAGATTAAAAAGAAGATGGATTTCCAAAGGGGTCTCCAAGCAAAGTCTAGAAACTAGCGTAC